CCACTGCCCTCCCCTCATCTATCCATCTAGTCATGCCATCAAGAAAAGTGTTGAGACAGTCAAACTTAACTTTAAAATGTCCACCAGAAAAAACTAATTCACTCCTGCCTTTATTCTGAGGAAATGGTTATAGGTTCATAATGAAATGGATATTTGTTTACACATAAAGCACCTGAAATGTTGACAGAAGAATTAATAAAACAAATACCTGTAACTTGAGCTCACTAGCAACTTTACAACTGCATTTACGTTGTATGTACAATTATGGATACTCACCCTTTCTTGCCTTTTCAATTGATTTCAGCTTCTCCTTTGCTTGATAAACAGCTGTTGCCTAGTTATAAAAAAAAAAAACAACCCACCATAAACCAAACCTTCAATGCATCTTTAATCTGTAAACTTCTACATAAAGTCAGCTCTGTGAATAAACCCTTGCATTTAATTGTGTTTTCAGAGAGAAAACTTTCAGCGAACTTTATTTTTGAATATTTTGGAAGTAAGTTTGGAAGAAAATTAGCATTATAAAAGAAAACTGAATACCATAATAACGAAACAGTATTTGACTACTGAAAAACAAAATCCAAAGCTCTTACGAAGTTATAAATATTTAAATCTTCTTAAACTAACAGAACACCACTTTCTCCAGAACCACCTTTTTCACAAGTAGATGCTCAAAAGCAAACACATCATTATGATCTTACCAATATGTGCTCTGCTTCTTTTAGTTGTTTCTGCAGCTGCTGAATATCATTATCCCTCTTTTCTACTACCTTTTCTAAAAGCTGCATTTCATGATGGATTTTCCCCTGATCAACTGCCAACTTCATTAGCTCTTGAAACTCTCCATCTCTCTGAATGAGCAGTTCCAGGATCTATGAAACAAGAGTTTTGTAGAACTTTTAATTTAGCTAAACAACAGGTCCTCAATCATACTGCAAAGAAGAGCAACTGACATCCATAAGAGTATGCTTGCACAAAAAATAAATAAATAAAAAAAAATCTCTTCCTCTGTTTGCAGAAACAGTTTATGAAGCATACAACAAAGGAATAAACAACAATATTGTTGCTGTAAAGATGGCTGAGCAATTTTTACTGCCTTAAGAGGGGCAAATCAGTCTTTCAAAAGGATACTGCTTCAAGGATGGGAAAGGGTGACAAAAAAAATTTCCAGTCTGTTAGTAGAAAAGATAATAAGATAGTGTGCACCTGGAGATAGCAAGTAGGTCATTGTTTAGATTCATCCTTGGAGGTGGGTGGAACCAGACCTAAGTGTGGCTTTTCTAGTCAAAACCCCCTTTATGGAGATTAGAGGATACGAAAACATCAAAAATTGTTTATGAAAGGCTGAAAATGAGCCAAAATTAAATGCTGCAGTAGGAGATGACAACCACCACCCCAATTCAGAGGCTGAAAACTCACCCCCCACACTCGCAAGGATCATGCATGGTAATTTACATGAGGGGCGAAGCTAATTTTAATATAGTGATCCAGTGATGAATGTAACCATTATCACTAACCAGTAATTGTAGAATTAGTGGCAAGTTAGGCATGTTTATACTACTAAGTTACAAAATAAATACTTTGCAGTTTTTTTATGCAGTATGCTAGTTTCATCTAGCACCCAAACTTTACTAATAAACCAATGTTGGCTTTCTAAATTATCATTTGGTTTAGAGAGTTCTTTCTTTGCAGTTGCTGCTTTCGGCGACAATATGAGAACCAAGCACGCCTTTGTGGTAGGACCATCATCATCGTTAGCTTGAGCACAGGCAAGGACAAAGGGAGGTAAAGGGAGACAGGAGGGAAACGAAATTATAAGCATTGTGCTTACCCAGAGAATATAGCTTAGAAAGTCAGCTTACCTGGTTCTCCTCTCCTGGTTGTGGAAGCTTCTGGTTTCTTGAAATTGCCAAAATTTCAATTAGTTCCCTGGAAAGAAAACTCTGTCTTTGCACAATTTTCTAAGGCATTATTTTATAAATCATATCGACTCATCCTAAAATTACCAGAGTACTAATATCATTACAAAAGTATTCACAAATTGAGTATTTTATACTTTTATAGTGCAGTGCTGGTAGGGATTTCTCATCTAAGAGAAATTGTCTGTGAACAATCTCATGATTGAGCACCTTTTCTTTGTTCTTTGAGCACATGAAGCGCTGAATTGCTTTGGTACTCACGAATGTGCCACATTACTGCCAAACTACTTATCAGCAGAAACTGAGAGAAGAAAAAGCACAATGAATCGAGTTTGTACCCTACTTTTACCGGCTTTGTTTGTTGCAAGAGGGCATGAAAGTAGTCTTCATTATTTTACTTCTCTACTATTGCTCCATTTTTTCTCAACAGAGCAAGTTTTACACTTGGATTTGAAGCAATTAAGTCTAAGCATTCAAACACCTGAAGAGTTTGTTGTGAAACCACTGCAACAACAAGTATTTCCACAATGGTACACTAGTTGCATATCAAACATACAAAAATATTAAAAAACAATAATATTCTGGTGGCAACATCAGAAGTGCTTCTCAAACCTCTTGATCATGCTTCCAGGAATCTATTTACTTTGCCACCATCCTGAAAAGCCATCAAGAACCTCAAAGCACTCACTAAGCAACAAGACCATAGTGCAAAAAGGCATGTTCTGTAAATTCAGCAAATTTACTCAGCTTCTAAGATTATGGATGGCAGTAACTGTCTATCTGAAGACAGTGTCCTTGGAACAACACTGATTCTTTGTTTGGTCCAGTGGAAGCAGCTCAGTGGTAAGTACTACTAATATAGTAGTGGGGCCATAACCTTAAAACGCTGTTACTTTTCAAACTGTCTGAAAAGGCCCCTGGCCAGTAGAGCTCTAAATAGTGTTTTGGCCTCTATCTTTCTGTCCTATGTCTAGTGTTACTCCTGAACACTAAAATGATTTAAAGTAATTGGAGAATGAAGAAATTTCTTGTTAACACTAAAGCTTTATTCTACCTGACCAACACTGAGCAGCAGCAAACAGAATCTGCTGTAAGTAGGTCAACTACCACCATGAAGCCTGATGTCATGAAAGGTTGTCATTCTGTCCTGTGTTAGCTGGATGATGCACCAATGTAGATTCAAAACAATACAATAGCTACAGGTTAGGCGCGTTGCTTAATTTTTGCCCCCACCACCAAACCAGTATCATGACTGTGAAAGGCTCAGCTCCATGGTGCTGCAATATTTTCCTGTTCAACAGGAAGATTCGCTAAATGTTGTTGAGGGTTGCTCTGGATTAATTATGGTAGAATCTTAATATCAAGGTTTTTTTAAAAAAAAATAGATAAAACACAAGTGGTTTGAGCTTTTTTTTCCCACAAGTACATGTTCTCCAGCTACCCATACGTCACAATAAAATCTAAAACTGAAAATAAAACCTAACCAGAAAACAAGAAAAACAACTGACCAATATAAATTCCTTGTCCTATCACTGGTAATCACAAAGAGCAAGTCAGCCATGTAGATAGTATGGGTTATTCTCTCTGAAAAAAATTTCTAATCTCCTGCTCTCCCCGAGAGGAGAAAAATACTTCGGAACCAGTTTAACCACAGTGCCAGCTGTGGTGGACAACCTGGGCAAGGGTTACCAGCCCAGCCTCAAGAACATGGGCCAGCTACCCGAGCATTTACGTCCTTCCAGAGACGAGCCTACCTCTGGCCAGTTTAACCCTAACGCAAACAGTGCCAAGAACGGCTTAAGTCAGGCAACACCACCTACAAATTTCTGACTTAAGCGTAGTTTTTAGTGACTCATTAAAAGCCCCAAATCGGTGCGCATGCTCGTTTTAGAGGAAACGCGGGTGTTAACCAAGAAAGAAAGGCAAGCGTAAGGACAAGGAAGCTCTCCCCCTGCTCTGAAACCAGGGGATAAAGCACGGCCGACGTTCTCCCACGCCGCTGAGACCGGACCGGGCCGGGCCCGGGCTCTTCCCGCAGGAGCGGACCCGGGGCCGGCAGGGGAGCAGAGAAACGCGCATGCCCGGGCCGGG